TATTATATATGTACATGCATATATATGTACATATATATATATATATATATGTGCCTATAGAGTCTAGTTCATGACTCCAAATGTCCTTCAGTATGGGTCCATCCATATTGGAGCCTGGTTAACCTACAAAGAGTCTCATGATTGGATGAGACTCTCTCTACTCCTCCTAGCAGCCACCTGTTGCCACAATGTCCTTAGGTGGGGTTGGAACTTCTTGACTGTTTTGTAAGTGTACAGTTCAGGGACTTTAGTTACCCTTATGCTGTCATACAACTGTCTCCACCCTTCATCTCCCAAACTGAAACTTTGTAGCTATTACATGACTATTTCTCAGTCTCTGAAAACTACGGTTGTGCTTTCTGTATGTATTGGTGGAATCACGTAGTGTTTGCCCTTCTGTGACTGGATTGTTTCCTTTGTGGGGGGGGGAGAGTCGCATACTGTAGCACCCCGTTTTCAGGCTAGACAGTCCCATTGTGTGTACATACACAGCACTTCTTGTTCTCCCATGGCCGCTTGGTTGTGTCTGCCTTTTGGCTGTTGTGGCCGCTGAGGCCCCATGGGATACAAGTACTTAAGGCTTTGTTTTCAGTGCTTTCAGGCACTGCAATCCCTTCTTAGTGGCTTTTAAATATTAAATGGAAAATTCTAGGACTAAGTAATTCTTAAGTGTGATTCATACCATTCTGAGTAGTAGAGTCATCTTAAAAATTCAGTGCTTAATCTCATCCTCAGCAAGAAACAAAAATCTTTCACGACAGGTGTGTATCTTTTAAAAGACATTGAAATAATGACATGACTCTAATAAATTTGTCTTTGACTTGCCCTAAGTATTTCCCATCTCTGTGGAAATGACTACATCAGACAGATGCAGATTCACCCCATTCCCACCCCCGTAGAAAGTTCTATCTCTCTCCCCACCTCCTTACACTGGGTAACTCATCTTCTTCTTTGCAACCAAAAATGCTGTTTATCTCTCGCTCCAGCCAGTCTTTTATCTATGTGTCATCAAGTCAACCAGCTAACATTTATAACATTTATAAGCTACCTTCTGCATGTCAGATACTATAGAGGCATGGCGTGCAACCAACCCACAGCAGTAGACCAGTTGTTCTTTGAGTATTTTGTTTTGTTTTGTTTTGTTTTGTTTTCCCTTCTTATCATGAGCTGTTGAAGGCAGGCATAATTTTTCAGTGACTTCTTTATCCTTTTGCTTTCTGTGCTGGACAGCTTCAGTCAACTTGACATACCTGGGTAGAGGGAATCTCAGTTCAGGAATTATCTCAATTCAGGAATTTCATCCATTTAATTGGCCCATAGCCATGTCTGTGGGGCATTTTTTTGATTGTTGAGTGATATGTGAGGGTCCAGCCCACTGTGAGCAGTGCCACTCCTGGACAGATGGTCCTGTATTGTATAAGAAAGCAGGCTGAGCGTGGGCCAGAGGAGCAAGCCAGTAAGCAGCCAGACACCATGATCTGTGCTCCAGGTTTCTGCCCTTAGCCTCTACTCTGGCTCCCCTTGTTGATAAACTGTAAGCTGTAAAGTAAAATAAACCCTTTCCTCCCAAGTTGGTTTTGGTCAGTGTTTTTATCACAACAATAGAAAGAGACTAAAACAGATACCATCTTTATGCGTGGAGTTAAAAGAATACAAAAATAAAGACGTGTTGATTTGCATTTTCTCCCCCATGGTTATTTGTAACACTTCGGCATTTTATAAGCGATGCTTGTGTATGTTTGTGAAAGCCACAGTGAGAGTTGGATGTGTTCACTTACTTCTGAAGTCTGGTGATCTATGACATAAAACATAACTGTTCTTTATATATAAAGAAATTAAATATTTCTGTGATAATCCAGGTAGCTTTGTTCTTACGTAGTCCACGAGCTGCTAGAGTTTTCCCAGATAGAAGAAAACTTTGAATACAGAGTTTTTACTAAGACTAGAAGTTTGTATTTTTTTGTCTCAGGCCTGGTTCATGTCTGTTGGATTGAAACAGTGATGCACTGTGGGAAAGAGCAAGTCCTGTGTGAGAGGCCCAAAGGGAAAATGTGGGTTTTAGAAACTAAGTGATTTTGTTTTTGAACTGAAGGGAGTACTGATGGGATTTGGAATCAGAGTCTGCCAAGTTCAACACTATTCTGGAAATGCAGTGAAAAGGTACTTCCAGAATGCACTGTGCATGACCAAGGACTCAGGCTGACCTGGGGACACAACAGGAACTTTATACAATAACATAAACGCTGGTATCTGGGATTGAAAATCCTGTGCCAAACTAAATTAGCCAGTTTAATAGTGGAGACTCAGGGGTTTCTGACTTTTTGACATTCATGACTAATCATCTATAAATGTAGTGGGCCATACTTAAAGCTGTCATGAGACCATGTGACCTGTAGGCCGCAGGATGGCCATGTCTGGTAGAGAGTATATTCCTGTTTAATAATTTGAGGTGTACCCTTATGTCTCATGTATGGAAAAACAGCTCTGACTCTTTCAAGGCTTCTTAACATTAGCGCTCAGCAGACGGTAAGCTTGTGTTGACATATCGTTTGGTTAATCATGTATTTGTATTTTTCTGCAGAGGCCTTTTAGTTTCTTAGTCTTAGACATTTAGCTTTTAGCCACTTGGAGTCATTATGGTTTCATAAATACTTAGACATGCTGTGTGCATGCTTCCAAACTACCTTTCCATTCTGACCTCCAGCCTGGAACTTGTCTGCTACTGAACCCCCATTTGGGTGCAAAAGCCAGCTCCATCTCTTTCGAGCTAGAAGACCTTGTATATATAATTTATCTAACTCTTTCCTCAACTGTAAGATGGTTTTTAGCTTTTAGCCCCTTTGAGTCATTATGGTTTCATAAATACTTAGACATGCTGTGTGCATGCTTCCAAACTACCTTTCCATTCTGACCTCCAGCCTGGAACTTGTCTGCTACTGAACCCCCATTTGG